CCCCCCCCCCCCCCCCCCCCCCCCCCCGGTGAACAGAAGCCAGAACCATGAGGGCCAGGGCAAGAGTGGCCAATGGTCTCTGAGCTGTGGGGCAGCCAACCTGCCCACCCCCCCAGCACCAATCCAGTCGGGTGGAATCCCCCACGTTCCCCCCCCCAACTATCCTGGGGTGTGTGAACAGCAGCCGTGTCCCACCCCAGAGGTGGCTGCCCATCAGTGGAGGCTGGAAGGTGCGAGTGCTACCAGCGGGTTTAAAAGCGGGGGGGGGGGGGTCAGGCACCAATTACAAACGGGCTTTAAGGGCCAGGATGGGCGTGTGCCTGGCGCTGGCCCCGCTGCGGCTCCTACCTGCGTAGATGTGGGGCAGGAACTTGGCCATGAGGAGCTTCTGGTCCTGAGACAGGGCCTCGAGCAAGTCTCTCCGGACAGGGCCAGGGTCAGTCCCGCTGCTCCTGCGCTCGTCAGGGCCCGGCGCGCTGCCCAGCTGGTGGATGTCCGGCCGGGAGAGGCAGGGGGTCGCAAGGACAATGAGCAGCAGGCACAGGCACAGCTCTCCTTTCATGGCTGCAAGGGAGGAGACGGGGCTGCTGGGGGCTGGTGCTGCGCCCTGCTCCGGGCTGGGACAGAGTCCTGCTGCAGCAGCCTCCCCGGGAACGCGAGAGGGGTGGGGGGGGTCTGGTGTGCACCAGCCAGGGCGGGTCGCCCAGCCGAGGGCACGCTCAGCAGGTGCTTCAAGACACGCTGGCACTTTGGGCTCGGCACAAGGCTCTCCTCTGCCTTTGTGCCTCACACCTGGCAAAGCCCTAAGCCGGCCCCTTAACCAGCTCCCTCAACCCCTGCCAGTGCAGACAGAGCCCCCCCCCGCCACTCGGTGATATGTGGGTCAAACACAGCCGGGTATCGTGCACGCCTGATGGGTGGGGGGGGCATGCAGAGTGGAGTGAGTTTGCCCAAGGCATAGAGACCCCCCCGCCGCCCCAGCTGTTCCAGGCAGGGTCAGGGCAGCCCCCCCGATCAGTGCCAGGAGCTTTCAGAGTAAGAACAAACACCATAGTGTCAGGCGTGACACACGCAGGCCCACTGGGTCCCCCCCTCGACACCAGTTCCCACACTAGCACAGGGGCGGGGGGTTTGGTGCCCATAGCTGAACCGCTCACACCGTGCCAGGGACGGGGCTGGTCAGGGCAGCACCGGGCAAAGGGGGCACAAGGCCATTGTCGGCTGCCCACAGGGCCGAGCCGGCCAGCAGGCACTTGGCGGGGGGGAGTCCTGCAGGGGCCGAGCCTGCCCTGGTCCCTGGGAACAAGCTGCCAGGCCTGGCCCGTCTCGGCCTTTGCAGCTAACAGCATATGCCGGTGCCATTTTCTGCCCTACCAAGGCACGGGCCAGGTACTGTGTGTGAAGCAGCCAGCCCCTGGCATGCGGGGGAGGGGAGCTGTGCTCAGCGCCCCCCTTTGCCCCAGCAGCAGGATTTCGCACCTGCCATGACCCGGCCGGAGACCGAGGGCCTCGGGCAGTTGACAGTGGAGCCAGTGACACAAGTAGTTGGGGTGGAGGGACCAGGGATGCACTCGTGGGACGTGAGCTAAAGGAGACCCTAGAGGCGGCGGGTGGCACAAAGACGCCCAGCTGCAGGCGAGCCCCAGATTTGTGAGCCCCCCCCAATCATTAGCACGCCCCCCTCCCCATCACGCACAGGGGCCCCCAGCGGTCTCACCTGCTGGAGTCCGGCGGCAACGAGCAGACG